ATTTATCCCTCAGATCTTCTGTGACATTGTGTTGTTTTATTAATCAGGTGCTTCATCTCAGTTTGGAGTATGGGACATTTATGTGGCAGCTGGGTCAGGCTGACCAATACGTCCAAATACACAGTCTAGAGAACAAGAAGAACTTCATTGTGCACACCAAACAGGTATGTGTCTTTGCATCTTGACATTCATTGTGACAATGTGAAACCCGAGTTGATCATCTTTGTGTTTTTTCTCCAGGCCGGCCTTATTGTCAAGCTGCTGATGAAGTTGAGTGGACAGATCACACCAAACGACAGAGCTGCATTAGATAAATATGCTTAAGGTTAACCCCATCACAGAGAAGCACCTTGTTTTTGCCTTTTGCCTTTTTTGCAGTTGTTTTGATTTTTAATCTATTATAAAACGACATGACTCAGAGTTGTTTATACCAAAATGTGAGCTATTACATAATGTTAACCTTATTTACCATGTAATATTTTCTTACTGTATATGATATATGCATTTTATAATGTAATGACCAGTTTTTGCTTTTAACAGTTTTTGTAAATATGAATGACCATTTTAATAAAAATATTACACAAAGAGCCCTCATAAATTATTTATACAATAATGGATTTTTTTTTTAAATTTCTCATAATTAGTGATCAGTTTGAAGCATGTTTTGATAAACATGTAAAGTAAAAAGTAAAAGCCTTTATCATTTATATTCTGATTCACTAGGAAATTAATCAAAATAGCTATCTGTCCAGATGTAAATCAGTAATATGGTTTCCTAAAAAAAAATGTGTATATACAGTGGGTACGGAAAGTATTCAATCCAGGTGTGAAAAACTTGTTGCATCTTTCCCAAAAAGACTCATGGCTGTATTAGATCAAAGGGGTGCTTCTACTAAATACTGAGCAAAGGGTCTGAATACTTAGGACCATGTGATATTTCAGTTTTTCTTTTTTAATAAATCTGCAAAAATGTCAACGATTCTGTGTTTTTCTGTCAATATGGGGTGCTGTGTGTACATTAATGAGGAAAAAAAAATAACAAATTATTTTAGCAAATGGCTGCAATATAACAAAGAGTGAAAAATTTAAGGGGGTCTGAATACTTTCCGTACCCACTGTATATATGTATGTATGTGTACACACATTTTACCCCACAAATTTCCATGACCTTATTTTTTTTTTTTTTTTTTACGATTATCTGCAAAGAGTAGGCTAATTTGTGAACCTGCTGGACTAAAAACTTTTTATAATTATTTTTATATATAATTTTATTATTTTTGGTACACTCAATATAAAGTTTACAAAATAGTAAGTGAAACATCTATCATCCCCCTTTATAACTCTTAGACACAAGAACATGTTTTTGTGAAGATTTCCATTCAGTATTGAAACAGAGGCTGTCTTTTCTTAGACAAATGGCTTATTCCGAATTGTCACGCCAAGCAGCACATTCAGCCTCTATTATATTGTCATGTTGTGCTCTGTTCTATGGCTGGAAAACTTAATCTAATTTTTATGTGCGGTTCACTAAACGCAGCATAAAAGTTGCATTATTTCAAGCAACATGTCCAGGGATTGTTAATATATAGTTTGCATAATCTATCACATTTACGGATGCACTTAGACTTCATTAAGTTCAAGATCTAATCCGTAGCCTACAGAAAACTGAAGGAAATGCATTTGTGCTTGCATTTTTTCTCCACTGTGCACATATTGTGTCTCTCATTCAGCTTTCTTTAGGTGATGTATAAAAGATCCTTTAAGAGCTGATAGGATTTGGTCAGTCATGTCTTTCAATACGTTCCCTCCTTCCTTTTCTCACTTATTCCCTTGTCGCAGTCATTGTACACAACAGAAGGCAGAACACTAGACTTCTGTTCCTGTTTCTCTAGAGAGCAAAAAGATTGTTCTCGGCCTGCCAGAACGATGTGGATTCTTCATTCCTCTGAGAATTCCATGTCTTTATCTGCAAAAGTGATAAAAAACTGTTGAGTAACACGGTGTTCGACTTCCCAACCGCTCATTTGTTTGCGGTGCTGAAAAGGAGAGCTTTCAGCTGCTAAAAACCAGTCTAAAGGTCAGAGAAAACTTGCTGTAAAACAGAGACAGTGATGCCTCACAAAGACACGACTGAGATCTTTCTCACACCCTGTTTCTCACACAATGCTTGAATGGGGGCTTAGAGGAGCAGAAAGAAGGAGAAGGGGAGGGGAATCTTTTCAGTTCTTCAAATGCAACAATAGTCTTTGTCTACAATGTCCCTCCATTCTTATTGGGGTTACTGACTGGGATGGGGTGGAGGGGCCGGATTGCCATAGAAACAGTAACAAAACAAGCTGGTCCCGGAGCAAGAGAGACACAAAAACATGCTTCAAATCCGAGACGGAATCTCTGTATCGATCTCTGCAATGTAGTTAGAAAAGACAGTGTGCCAAAGGAGGAAAACTTATGTGAAAGGATGGATGCAGCTACAGTTGGGTAGAAGAAAAGGCAATAAGAAATACTGGAGCAGTATAAAAGCACTCAATTCTTTCGGAGGGACATTTGGACCAGAATTCAGTTGTGCTGGCGGTTATTGCTCGACTGGATATCACAATGAACTCCGACACTCAGTATGAGGACTCAGTGTCCATCATGGTTCTGGAGAACATCAAGAACAAGCTGTTACATGCTTTCAGAACATCAGCAGAACCGAGAACCTCTGCTGAGACAGCTATTCATCCAATCGGAGAGAGTTTACAAGTAAACGAAGAGCTTCGGAGAGCCAAAATAGACGGAGCCATAACTTGGTTAAGATCAGAACTGGTAAGTTTAGAAACCACTGATACTTTTACATCTTAAGTGACATTTTAGAATGGATTGTTTGGTTGTTTCATTTGTTGTTTTTTGTCGGTTAGATGAGGATAGATAGGTGGATGGACGCACAGAAAAACAGATATATGGAAGGATGCTTGGCTAGACAGAGATGGATGGACCAAAAAAAATGATATATGGATATATGGAAGGATGGATGGACAGAAAAACAGATAAATGGAAGGATGGATGAAAAGACAGATGGATAGAGATGGGTGGACAGAAAAACAGATAGATGGAAGGGTGAATGATAGATAGATATATGGATGGATGGATGGACAGACAGAAAAACAGATAAAAGTATGCATGATAGACAGACAGACATATATGGAAGGGTGGATGGACAGAAAACAGATAGATGGAAGGATGGATCAATAGAAAGATAGATGGTGGATAGACAGATGAATGGACAGAAAAGCAGATAGATGAAAGGATGAATGACAGACAAACAGATGAAAGGATGGATGATAGATAGATGGATGGACAGAAAAGCAGATAGATGGAAGGGTAAATGATAGACAGACAGATATATGGAAAGATGGACAGAAAAAAGAGATAGATGGAACGATGGATATAGACAGACTGACAGAAATATAGATGGGTGGATGGAAAAATCGAGAGACAGAGAGACAGAATGATAGATAGACAGACAGACAGATGATAGATAGATAGATAGATAGACAGACAGACAGATGATAGACAGACAGACAGACAGATAGATAGATAGATAGATAGATAGATAGATAGATAGATAGATAGATAGATAGATATGTGAATGTGAATGTGTCTGATCTATTGCTGTGTGATTGTCATGCAGCTGGAGATGCGCTCTCAGGACCGTCAGCTGGCTCAGACTCTGCTGGGACTCAATAAGGAGATTCAGAGGCTCAGACGAGAGAACGGATCTCTGCTCCTGGACGCTGACAGCACTGAGCACCTGTGACCCCACAGAGCAGAGCAGGGCTTAATGAGAGAACAACACCCTGACAAGCAGATGCCTGTAGAGGAGTGGAACACAAATAACTCTCCTGTCCTGGAGTGCACTTTGCTGGCACTTTGTTAAAATGTCTTGTTGGGAAAAATATTGAAAGCATGTTCATGTATGTGAAAACTTGACCAAATATCAGTCAAACTGGGTGCTGAGATTTGTACTCAAAACTACATATACATCCCTTTACACCTGGCATTAACATACCATTTTGGTGATCAAATCACGATTGGAAAGCACTTGACCACAGGTATAAATGCATCCAAGACACATTGTAATCATAAAACCACACTAGGATGGATACTGACCCCTGATTTTATTGGTTTTCTATGTGATGATCAGACTGGAGAAGCATTGGAATGAAAGTGTAAATGCAATGCAGTTAAAAATATCCTATTAATAATATATATAATACTATTCGGATACAAAACATGTTAATACCAGATGTAAAGGGAACTAGCCGTAAGAAGGTTAGTTGAGACTTGTATGCTTGGCATAGATACAATTTCTATGATTAATTTGTCTATAGAAGATGTAGCTCATACCTGTTCTTACTACTAATGAGATTGTGTTATCATCTGCTGTATGACTGAAAAACCAAGTGTTGATATTTGTTCAGCTTTGAACATGGAATTATTAGCATAGCATATGCAATGGGTGCAAAAACATGTCATCATATGTTTATTAAAATGTCTTGATGTTTTAAACTCTGTCTTGCATCATGAAATGATTAATCTCAACATTGATCAGGTTTGTAGGTTTTTATTATCATACCTGTGGTACTAGTATGATACTAAGTATGATGTCAAAGCATGTCATAGCATATCATTAGTGATATTTGTCCCAGAAAAATTAGATTATCAGTGAAAAAAAATGTGTTTCTTTATTTTCCAATGACTCTCATAATACAATTGAATGAGTTGTTCATTGTTCAACTTTCAAGACAATATTCTGGTAACTTTCTTTTGCTGTCAGTGTCATACACTTAGTTTGAAGAGGCACTTCAGTTGTGTGAAATGAGAGAAAATACTTTTACAGATATATAAGCGCTGTTTAAGTAAAACAAACTTCCTCAGTGCATTCTATGTATCTCTATTTGTGCATTCAGGTAGAATAGTAGTCTATCACCAAAGACTTTGTCAAGTTTTCCACAGTGTAAAATGTTTTACTTTTTCACTTTATAGTAGCCTATATAGTATGTTCTGAGCATATGGCAGTTGTGTTACTCCAGTTGTTTTAAATACAGTATCCCGTATGACATTATGAAATTTCTCACATAAGTAATTCATCATTTGTTCTTCTGTGAGACTCAAGACTACTGTAACATGCTGGAACATGTTGTATTAATCAAGCAAATGGGATCTGAACTGGAGGTTTCAGGGCACAGAGCTGCGTCTACTAAAGGCCCGTTTGGGCAGGTAGGCTCCAAGAGGAGCGGGGCTCATACATGTGCTAAAGGAGTAGATGGAAGGGTAAAAGCTAATTTCTCCTGAGAAGGAGGACATACTGCTCCCCCCACCCTCACTTCCAGAGTCTCAACAAGGTTCCTCTTCCTCATCTTCTATGGCTTTTGCACACTCCTGTTTCAGTTCCTGAATGCCGTCATGAAGATCCATCAGCTGGCGAATCAAAGCTTGGTCCTGAGAGCGCATCTCCATCTACAAAGCAGAGGAATGTTTTTATGCATGCTTTTATTCAATTATTGTTAGATGAGTAGGCTACATCAGAGTTAATAAACTTTTTAACAGTATTTTGTGTAAGCAAATACATGCTCAACATTCAAGTCAGATTTAGAATGAACAAATAAAAACGGTTTTAAGAATTTAACTCAGTTGTAAATAATACACACTGCAGAAAGTGAACATCATTTTAGTCAAGGAGCTAGGCCTATATCTCTAGCTATCTACCTATTTTGTTCATATAGATATGTAGGCTATAGCATAGTCCTATCTATGATTTTGTTGACATAAGTAGCCTAGGTCTATACACTCTAAAAAATGCTGGGTTAAATACAACCCATTAACATACACTCTAAACAATGCTGGGTTAAATACAACCCAGTGCTGGGTAAAATAGGGACAAACCCAGCAATTGGGTTGTTTTGACCCAGCGGTTGGGTTAAATGTTTAACCCAACCTTCTGGGTAGTAACCCAACCGCTGGGTCAAAACAACCCAATTGCTGGGTTTGTCCCTATTTTACCCAGCACTGGGTTGTATTTAACCCAGCATTGTTTAGAGTGTATGTTAAAAGTTTCAACCATGTTTTTAAATAGCCTAACATTTTTGTAACCACAAAAGTTACATTATGTTAAATGTTTTAACAGCGTTTTCAAATAACATTTTTGTAATCACAAATGTTACATTATGCCGAAGTTAAAGTGCGGTCACGTATACCATAAGCGAAATTTCATGTGCGATATCCAGTTATTTAAATCTGCGAGATAGGGAGTTTCGCGTGATGGCGAAAAAATTTCCCAATCCCCACGAAGATTTCCCTCGTTTTCAGATTTTGGTCTCGCCAATACACCACGTTGACCAATAGCCTAGAAAGTGGGCTGATATGAAAATAATTATGTGCACCCTTATTATGCACTCTTACACTGTTGACAATTAATGGACCCTTTTTACCCGCGAAATTTCACGGAATTACACAGTAGGCCTATAAATACAGCTGCGTTCGGGAACCTCAGCAGTAAGGTAAAAACTGACAAAACTGTCTGAACCCGTATAAATTTAAATATCTTAAATATAATCAACTAAAAGCTTTAGTCTTCTGTTAAAGACGCCTTAAGATAGCCTAGCTGACGACAAACTAATGGATCTGAAAAGGCGCCTAAAAACTGCCAGAAATTTATCTACAAAGGCGACCCCCTCAAAGGCTTTTTATAATTAGCACTCATGGTATATAAAGCTGACATACTTTGCATATCCACTTCATAAATCATCAAAACCCTTTTGCCTAAAAACATTCAAATCAGTAGGCCCTATTCAAACCTCATTCTGGGAAACTGTTTAGAAACAATTATCCTTCACCTCAATTTACATTTTTCTCTTTATCCAGAACATCTTTCTAAACTAAACCTCAAGAAAATAAACACAGCGAGACACTGGGAAAGCTCTGACATTCAAAGACTCTGAAAAGAGTGACCAGAACAAACATTACAGTTCTAACAAATTCACATATTCATGCCAGAACGATCAGGTCAAGGTTAAGGTGCTACTATGCTGAATAAGTTCTTATCCTTGTATTCAACAGCGGGAGTTGAAAGTATTTTAGACGGGCAATGTCTTTTTCAGATGCAAATATCTTTTTCCTCTTTCTGCTCTTTTTATTGGTGGCCATGGCAGTCTAATTGGATGTATTGAGAGGAAATAATATCCTGCATTCCAGCACATTTCATGAGCCTGTTCTGACCGCAGAAAGGACGAAACAAGAAGTGTTCCCGCCAAAACCTGCATTAATTACACTGGCAGACTAATAATGAAACCTGCTTTGAAAGATTTAATCAAAGAAAATGAAAGAGAAAAGGACATGAACTTTGTTGGGAGCAGGTGAAACCCTTCCTGGGCACTGAACTGCTTATAAGAGTGAACAGTACATTTGCTTGAGTGTGTTTACGTGTTTTTCTCTATTTCACTGAAGCACATTTAATGGAACTCAATTTAAACCTGATTTCCTATAGGAGAAAACACAAAACATCACTATTTATGTGGGCAGCTGAGTGAATTGGCATAAATGCTGACTGGAAGTGAACACTGGAACTTGTAGGAGTCATTAGAACGGTGTTAAGGCTGGAAAAGAACAATAATGTGAATGCTGTTAGGCAAGCTCTTTAAGTTAATGAGCAGAATATAGAATGTGGAATAACAAGTAGTGGCCTAACTGACCTGAATTCACCCGACTCCAGAATTAATTTTTAAACAACCATACATCCATTCTTATCAAAGTACAGTGTGTTTGACATTTAGTCATAAACATGTTCTAAATCAATTACAGTTAAAATATCGCTAAAGGAATTGTGACAAGAATAACAGACATTGTTCAAGATTTAGATTTGAAGTCACAGATGTACTGAAGTGATGAATATAGACCAATGAGACATAATATTAGCTCCTCTTAAAGGGTTTCTGTGGTGTCTTTTGTGTGAAAGGTTGCCATGACATGTCATGAGTACAGAGGCTGTAAATGCCAAGCAATATATCTACTGAGAATGGGCCTGCTCAGAATTTAACCCCCGGGACATTTTAAGGGTCGCAACATGAATGTTAATGACGAGACGGTCGTAATTTTTTACTCATGAGGAGTAACGTTGTAGAGACGCAAGCTGACCTTTGATTTTACTCAAGTTTGAAACAACATGACCTATGTCTACAACAATAGACACGCATGAAATGCTTAGACCACCCAGGACACCCACTATACACAGGGAGAAGGAAAAAATTAGATAAAATCGATAAAAATGATAAATCTCTTACATTATGAGACTCTTATAGGTCTCTTATGCTCACCAATTAACACTATATGATAAAAATACTGCAAAATAAGTAATATTGTGAAATACTACAATTTTAAATATGAATCATATGATCCTTCAGAAATTATTCTAATATGCTAATATATCCTAATAATTTGCTGCTCAAGAAACATTACTTATTATTATCAATGTTGAAAGCAGTTGTGCTGCTTAATATTTTTTTTCTGAATTCTTTGATGAATAGAAAGTTCAAAATATAAGCATTTATTTGAAATAGACATCGTTTGTAATATTACACAATAATTATTTTTACTGTTAATTTTGATCACTTTAATGGACCCTTGATGAATAAAAGTATTAATTAAAATACTTAAAAAATCATCTTGCTGACCCCACACTTTGGAAGTATAATTGTGTGTGTATATATATATATATATATATATATATATATATATATATATA